TGTGTCTGATGTGATATATTCCTTTGATTGCCTTGGCTACTGTTTCTTTCTCGTAGATGTTTTTGTGATAGAAGGCGAGACTATTGTCATCTTTTAGTAACTTTTTCGGGCCGAGAGGTGCTACTGACAACAGCTAGGAAAATTTTATGAAAATTTACAAATAATTATGTGGTTCACACGATCACTTGTTTTGTGTCTGAGTGTAATTTATTTATGTGTGTTTTACAGCAGTCTGGTTACCAGAGCATAGGCTTTGTCGGTAATCGAATCAGATGGCCGTGCATGAGATGTGTCAAATTTTTATCATTATTATTTGTCTTATCCGGGCATCGAACTATGAAACTTACGTTCGTACACCAACTTATGTTACGAAAGCATCTTTTCTAAGGTCTGATAAGTAATCCGACATTCTTATCTTCGTTGTGCTTTACGAATGTTCTAATAATAAGAGCTAGATTGAATATGTAGTTTATTACGTAACTATAAAGCTAGAGCCGATGAAACATTCGTGATTTTATGTCCCTTTCGCTCTTTACGTAATACCTATATGGATGCAATTTCGGTGGGCGACGGAAGGGTGACGTATGTTGAAGCGGGGCGCGCAACAGGTAATTTAATATTTGCTTCCCGTTCCCTGTACCGCCAAGGTATTTAGAGTACCTAGATTTGTATTTATTGGGGTGTCTGTCGGATCAATATTGCATCGCAGCCCGGGCCGTTGCTATGGGGATGTCCTCCCCCTGCAACCCCCACTCAGACCTGTGCCTAGGATTTGAGCTCGCGGGCCCAGTGCAGCGGATGCCATTCGTCATTCATCGGAGAGCTATTACTTTATCAACACGCGCGCCGCATATCGGTGGAACATTAATTATTTTATGGTTTTCAATTTTAGTTATCATTGTTAAAGTGATTCAGTACAATGTTTTGATACTAGTGTTTGTATTCGCAATTAAATTAGGGTGAATTAAATTAGAAGAGCTGCTGTGAACCCGGAGATGTAGGTAAGTGTTTTTTTTTTCAGGATGTCGTCTGAAGTAATTAGATCAAAGTTAAAAAAATATTTCTGCTTTATTTTAATTTCGGTAATTTTGCAGCTTATTTCAGACGAAATTCTTTTCTATTTATTTGATTTACTTATAATATTTTCAGCAGGCAAGAAGTATGCTGACGGAGGAGTTCTTTGTTTAAATTTTTTAGAAGTTGCCGATAACAATATATGTGAGCTTTTTTTCTCTCGTAACATAGGTTGGTCAGAAGGTTTCAAGGTTGGATTGGGAACTTTGCGCACGCGACCGAGTCTATCCTAATCCGTCTTTATCTTAACGTAGAAATTCTTTACGGTGGGGAAATAATAAGTTGTTTAAAAACAGGGTATTCATATCGACGGTTAACGGCCAAAAAGGGATAACCGCCATTCTACAAACTTTACAGGAGAGAGGTTTAAAGTTTAAAAAGAATCATAGAAAAAAAAAAATTGGGTCCACAGGCTTAAATTTATAACTAGCTTTTGAAAGGTTCTCCATAAACTGGCATAATTAATTTTGTTGAATTCCATCTCGAAGTATCATTTACGGTCGCTTACCCTGAAATGACCCAGATTTTACAAACAGCAAAAACGTTCCAAGTGAATATAACATGGGATTCACTTCCAGCCTAAACGATGCATATGCATTTCAGTATTTTTTAAAAACAAGAAAAAATGGCATATTGTAATATTTCTTGTTTATCAGGCGTGGCCAATATAGCTTGAGTGGTTATTGGTTAGTAACAGATAGAGAAGAAAATTGTAATAAGTGATGAAATCTCATAATAATTGTTCAGCAGTTAAAGATTACTGATGATTTTTGCACTATTACTGAGGATTATAATAAAAACAAGGTGCTTTGAGACAAATAAACTTGTAATGTTAATAAGTAATAATAAATATTAAAAATTATAAATCTAATACAATCATAAAAAAAGTTTTTAACAATCCTTGTACAACATTTTTGTTCTAAGCTACAAATAGTATCTAACTGCTTAGGCTTATGAATCAGTCTGGGCAACTTAATGAAGTACACTTAATTATTATTAATAATAATAATAGTATTTATTTATTTATGTAATAATTCAATCATACATTAATTGAGATCAAAAAGTATTAAAATAATCATGACTACCCACCATAAGGTCTTGCCTAATGTGGGGAATACTGAAACACACTTGTGTTTCAGTGGTCCCCACATTAGGCAAGCCTGTATCGTCCCTGACATTGGCAGGTATTTACTTTAATAGATAACTTAGCTAAAACGTACGTACTAAAAACAATAAATGCAAAACATTTACTCAGAACAAAAAAATACAAAATTATTTACGACATAACTTTTACTCAAAAAATACAAAAAAAATATTTAAGACATTAGACATAACTTATTATAAATAATATAAAAACCAAGTACCTATTTAATTAATATCATCATCTTCGACATCTGATTCAGGGAGTGTATCTCGAATGCTACTAGCACTTTTAAGGCTCTTATACTCCCCTTGAAATATTTGTGGGATCACATTATCGGTACAGAGTTTCAGTAAGTCATCAAGTTTTATTTTCGAAATGGGTAACTGAGATTTATAACAAGCTGGGACATTACCTATGGACTTTGATTGTACTACGATTTGATGTGACTCAGCGTTTTCGTTTATGGAAGTTTTGTAATTAATTAAACAGTCGTTCTTTTTAAATTTTACTATGCGCATTTTGCTGATTATGCCAGTGAGATTTCCCTTGAAATATTTTTCACTGATTGAATCCCATTTGTAAAAATCATTGAATTGCAGTGAGTCGACAATGTAAGGTTCTGGATTTTGTCTCGCTGTAGTAAAGACTGTAAACCACTGAGAAGGTGCGTGAATGGTAGTTTTTTTTTAATTTTTCTCAATAACGCCATGGACGGAGTCTACTGGCATGTAAGTATGCCCTGTTAGCAAGAAGTTTATTTGGATTTTTTTTTTTTTTTTTATTAGAAAAGACAACGCCCGCATTAGGAATATATATTCCTGTGTCGCGGGGGACTTTACAAACATACATGAAACGGACACAAAGAACACCCAGACTCAGAACAACAATTTGTGGATCACACAAAGTGTTGTCCTATGTGGGGTTTGAACCCACAACACTCGGCGTAGTAGAAAGCGGCGTGGCGACCACTTAAACCACTACGCCATCCGTGCAGTCAATTACATTGATATTATTGCACGTTTGCAAAGTTGCGTGTAACATTGCCATGATTATCCGGTTTCTATTTTGACCGGGACAACAATCACAGTATAGTAATAAATTCTTTACTGTACCACGTTTATCTACAATTTTAATGTACTTATTGAGTATTGTTGCAATTTCGTTGGCACCTCGTTTACCGTTACTTTCGTCCCAATAAAAACAAAATACTTTTCGCGTGCCATTTTCATAAATACATAGATTATATACAGCTAGTTTACGACTATAAAATAATAACATGCTCTCTTCGTACGGAGTATTTAAAACTTTTTGTAGATCGAAACTAACACATAGGGTGGCAGGATCGTTTTTATTTATATTCTGATGTGCTTTAAATCTCTTATAACTATCTTCTTTTTCTCTTTCGTGTTCTTTAATTTCTTTTTGCATACTTGCATTGTCTTTATTTTGTTCGTATTTAAGGCACTTTAGGCATTTATCCTTCTTAGGAACGTGAAACCCGATATTAAATTTTTCATTAAATATAGTCCGAAAAATACGTTCACTTACAATATCAATTCCTCTCTCTATATAACTATTTTTATACATTTCATACAAATATGATAAATTTTTTATGCAGCTAGGCAAGTAAACACGGGTAGAGTCCTTACGGCAATAGTGTGAGGGAACAGCTGGGAGACCCTTGATGTAATTATGCACTAACACTATTGTACTTTCTTTAGTTTTGTTATGTGGTTCGCGTTTACCACGATTATCCTCTTTTGCTAACCCAATTTCAGAGTTTTGTACAGTATATTGAATAAATTTCAGACCAACATCCAAAGTGGCTGCTAAAAACTGAAGACACACGAATCGCTTCCCCTCACCTTCTGTTATTGCATACTTGTAACTGTATGAGCGTTTCTCAGAATTACTTCTCTTCCGTTTTATAACTGACTTCTGAGTCATTGATACCAACTAGTCTTTGCGCCGTACGGTTGACAGGCTCCAAAAATATTCAAAAATACATTTTGGTCGCTCATCTGTGACCATTTCACAACCATTGCCACACTTCTTGCCTGTACCAGGGTTAGGTTTAATTTCTTTAGCAGGGACTTCAATGCCATTTCTTTTCACGTATGCTTGACCAGATTGCCTTAGAGTTCTTTGTACTTTCTTTTGATTTATACGTCGTTTTTTTACTGCATTATCTCCTACCTTATTGATTTCATGTTCTAGCTCAACGTTGTTTTTGTTAGATTTTTTCCGCTTTTTCTTATTCCCATTTTCATACCTGAGCCTACTTCAGAATCATCTGATTCTGAAGTAGGTTCATAAACATCTGAATCTGCTTCTCCTTATCCGAAAATGGTTGTGGGTTACTATCTATATTAGAAACAGGCACTAAGGTAACGCTAAAGCTGGTAGAAGGCAAAGGTTCTATATTGATGTTATTTGTTGAAGACAAAGGTTCTGGTCTCGATACAACTAGTTGAAGGCAAAGGTTTCATATCGATGTAGACGGTTGAAGAAAAAGTTTCAGTCTCGACAGAACCAGTTGAAGGCAAAGCTACTGGAACGATATAACTGGTAGATGGCATAGGTTCTGTCTCCATATAATTGGTAGAAAGCGAAGGTTCTATCTCGATATAACTAGTTGAAGGTAACGACAATTTTGATGTAGATTTTATAGATAGTGGTACATTTATAATTTCATCGCTAATTATTTTTATTTTCTATTTTTCTATTTTTTTCTAATTGTTTTTCAGGCTTTGGTGAAACAGCTACGTTTACAGAGATAATATTACAGAGATAAAAAATTATTTACTTGGAGATAAAAATGATGACATCCATCATTTTTATCTCCAAGTAAATAATTTTTTGATTGATTTAAATCATCTAAGTTAGATGATGAAGTAGGTTCAGAGTTTTCATTAACATCAAAATCTTTGACATCATTTGAGACTTTAGAAAATGAATTCTGTTTGTACCTATTTATGTCCTCGTCTGGTTGAACATCAAAATAGATTTTTTTTCGAATTTTCTGAAGCTTTATTTGTTGTGAATTGCGTAATGCCTGCCCGATAATATCACATGCTCGTTGTTTCTGAGCCATATCTTCTCCTAAAATATAAAAAAACAAGTATTAGCATTAGTATAAGCAAGCATTAAAAAGAGTTTTAGGTAAGTAACTAGAACAAATAATGTTATCGGTACCGACCTGAAACATTGTTTTTCTGGATAGGTTAGTAGGTAGGTAGGTAGGTCGGTCGAGAGGCAGGTCGATAGGTAGGTAGGTAGGCAAGCAGACAGGCAGGTAGATAGATAGATAGATAGGTAGGTGGGTTGAAAGGCAGGTAGGTAATTAGGTAGCTAGATAGGTACCTAGTAGCCAGGTAGGTAATATAGCTATCGAGATAAATTATTATTATGCACTTATAACTAATGTTCCTTCACCTCAAACAGTAGGCAGTCCTCAAACACAGAGTTAAGCTATTAATGGTATAGAAAATTAATTTCCTTGACAAGTAAGCAATAAGTCAAGCAATAAGTCACTGGTAACAATAGCAACTATACGAGTAAACCATACAACCATTAGCCCACATTATTCATAATATGCCAGATGAAAACGACAAAAATGAAAGCGCTTGAATATAAACACCTGTGGATGCACTACAGGATGAAATAACAATTTCAACACCCTTCGGGGCACAGTCGACGAACAACCGACTTGCGAAACGTGAGGTTATGGATTCGATACCCACCTTGAACAAATGTCGGTGTGATAAACACGATTATTTGTTCTGTGTGATGATTTTTTTTCTATCAATTATGTATGTACCTACCTATTAACAAAAAAACTAGTAACGACTTAATAGTTATTATTAGAAATATTGTATTTTTAATTAATATAGATAAGTACAATTTATTATTATTTATCTAGTTTGTATAGTACAAGTTCCTGCTTTGTTTGAGATTAGGTACTTAACTTCTTTGAAAATAACACAATATTTCTAATAATAACTACCCATAACACGTATTTTTTTTACATCGCATTCACAAGTTCAGTAAGTATTTCATTTTCTGGGTAATATAATTTTAAAGCATTCATAATTAAAAAAGAAATAAACTTACCGTTTACGAAACTGCTCGCTAAAAACACTCGCACGCACGCGTGGCGGTTGGGCAACGTATCACAGAACACTGAATGATCGCACGGCCTGGCAACGTGTTTAGTGGGGATAACTATTATAGTGTAACCGAGAGCTTTGTGTTTGCGCGCACAAGATAAGTGCCAAATATTCGAAAACCTATTGGCCTAAGTGGCTATTAAAATTTTATTATATTTATCTAACCGACAGACATGGGTATTTTTTTGGGAGGGAAAATTAAGATAAGCGCCATTCAGAATGTTTGTAATGATTTAGTAAAATAGTACTAACCGCCACAACAATAATGGAAAATATGTGTTTTTTTTGGATTAATGAACTTTTTTGCAATAAATATTTCTAGCTAAATTCGGTCAACGAACAAATATCAATATTTTAATGAAAGCCTAAAGAGCATAATGGTCAATTGCGAAAATATAAAATATGACCAACTACCATTGTAAAAAAAAAAACATCAATAAACCTGTCGTTTAGGACTTTAAATTTAATGAAATTTTTCAATTTTTCAATTGCCTAACCTCCAAAAAGTTTGTCCCAGGACCATGAAACTGGTACCAATCAACGCAGAAAAATCTGCTGATTCCAAATATGTATATAACTCATTTCAGCTAAAAGTGTCGCTTATCCCTTTTTGGCCGTTAACCGTCGATATTTACGTGTTTTCCAGGCAAGGGCACAAAAGAAAATTTTCATTGGCGGCCATATTGTTTTTGTGTATCAATCGCCTCCAGATGCCATCTTTTTTTGTGTAATGCGTTTACAGGGTAATCTTTTTGAGCATAGGAGGTGTGTTATATTATTTGTTTAGCTACGAAATAAAATGCCGCGAGTTAAATATAATACAATTTCGTATTCACCACGATTAAAACACTATATATAGGTATCGATCAATATAAATGTAGGTACTTGCGCCAGACAAAGGGTAGAGATATGTGGGAAGGGAGGAACGTGTAAGGGTGGGGTAAAGTAAGCTTCGGCGGCCATTTTACATTTTAGCAGGTATCCAAACTGCGCCGGTCTGCCCGAAGCGACTGCGCACAAACACGGACTCTTTTTTTTTTTTATAATCGCGCTGCGGAGTTAGATGGTTTTTGTAGAACCTTTGTATTCTGTATTATTTTAAATTAATTTTCAATGATTGCGTATAAATATTAATAAATTTCAATATCGACATTCTTTTCTTTTGTAAACTACTAACTAAATTAAAAGTGTTTTCCGGAAACAAAGGCGAACGGGTGCTGCTCGTCGGACTTCTAAATTATCAACGATTATTTAGTACGTAGATATATTCAGACAAAGATTAATCGGGCATCGGTCAGTTTAAAAGCAACATCGCAATAGCACTAGGCACCTATTGCCTCATACCATGCTGTCGATCCTCGCTGCGTTTCAAGATCCATCCTTGGAAACAAAAAATCAAAAGTTATTTATTTCACTATCAAACGGTATTTTCCCTTTCAATGTTACATAGAGTGGGTATCAAAGGACGCTATTCTTAAGGTTTCTTTATCCGGACCGTGTAATTCCTTTGAAATGTTAAAATATTTATATGGACCGACTACGTTTAACGGGAAAATACGAGCAAAATAACATGGAAAATTTTATGAGCACGTGAACAGAATGAAATCTAATAATTGGCTACTTATTGCCATAGTAACGAATCATTATAGGGGTTCGTAGGTGATGAATCGATCTCTACCTACGCAGACATACTTATCAAATTGTTTATTTAATCAGTCGTATTCTTAAATTCATCGAGACTGGACGTCTGCATTCAGGTAAGATAACACTACTTACTTAGTTAGATTCTTTAGTTAGTTAGTTGAGTTTAACTTAAAGTTTTCCTCAACTTAGTATACCGATCTTTAAATTTAAATATTATTTTGACGTTCATCATCAACGGTCAGTTGCTGAACATTGGCCTCTCCTTAGAAAAGAGCCTACTGTACCTGATGGAGTTGGTATTGGGTTTGTGTGTTTTCCTTTCTTGTTGCAGTGCTGATGTCCAGTGTGCTTCTTTTGTCATCTCTCACGGCACCCGTGGCATGTATATTGGTCGTGATAATCCGTATTCTTAATCCGTCACCACAAGGATAACGTTTAAATTTAAGCCTATAACTACATACATTTTAAAAACAAGACTTTGTCTGCAGAGCTTTTAAAATTGTCTTCGTTTAATCTCAGTCGTACTTCACTCATGCGCCGGTGGAACAGAGAGCGGGTTCATATTTTAGTCGTAAGTGGATAGTACCTAATTTGAATTTATATTAAAAATGTCGTGTGTAGAGGCGAAACACGTGTCAAAGTATCACTTTCTATAGGCCCAATCTTACGTTTCACGGTTTGATGGGCAACATTTTTTTGTGGTTTAAAAGGAGAAGGTGCGGTGCTTGTAACATTATGTTTCATATTGCAATGGCAAAAATAAAATTGCCATCATGCGTGACATATGAAACTTTGAAGTTATTTTACTTATTATGGGAGCTTTCTTCGTTCATCATCATGTTTTAGATTATATAAATTATTTCCGCTTCTATTAGATATCTAACAGTATTTACAACTGTTCGTTTTAGTTTGAAATTTCTATCACCCTTAAAACCTTAAAACAAAAATATAGGTAGATATTTCATGAAATTTCTAGATAATTCTATTTATAGCTAGAACAAAAAAGAGCTGTCTCCCAGGGTTCACAAAATGGCGTGCGCGCCACCCACACTCGGGACCTCGATCGATCGAGCCCGTGCAAGGATCGGCAACTGCGCATCCTCCATCCAAACCACGCCCACGTCCGGTAACGCCCAACATCCGCTAACGTCGGACGTCTCCTAGTTTCTAGAGGTCTATTTATAGCTTTGCTGCCGAGCTCGACGGGTCTCTTCAAAGAAGAAGCCTTTGATTTAGAGGCTTTAGATTTCTATCGAAGCTACAATACTTTTCAACGAGACTTAACAGACTACTTTCCCGAACATTCTGGACTTTTTATCAAGACTATGTTCGTGTTACATAATATACAATAATTCGTGGTTAGAGAAATACGTGAAGATAATAAAGACAAGTCACCTGTTTAGCTGAACTTCAAGTCGAAGTAATAACTAGTAGCATTGTGTACTCGAAAAAACCGTCACAATTTATAATAATAATAATAAGCTTTATTGTCACAAAAATTATACAGTTCCCAAGGGTTCACACTTATAATTTGACACAATTAAAGGTATTGAGCTTTAGGTACTGATACTGTCTCCCAAACTAAGCGAAGGCTTGTATTTTGGGTGACAGTTTTCAGTCGTGTATTATAAATTACAACTATCTATTACAACTTACAATTTTTGTGCGTGCAAGTGAACGTGGTCGCTGTATGCAAGGGGTAAATAAATGATATTACATAAGTGGACCAATTGCTATTGAGTGGGTATGTGTATAGGTGAGTGTGTGTGTGTGTGTGTGTGTTAGTATGGGTGTTTGTATAAAAGTATGTGTGTGATTTTGTTTTTTTTTTTTCGTATATGAGTTATGTGCTTGTATATGATGATGTTTGTGTGTATGTTACGCAATGTATGTCAGTAGTTGTTCAGTTTTGTTATAATCCATTTTTAGAAGCCAGTCTGTAAGAGTGGTTTTGAGTTTGTGGTTGTTTAGTCCTGCAATGTTGAGTTTCTTGTGTATCTCGTTGTATAATTTTATGCTTATGCTATTAAATTGTCTTCTGGCAAAGGATGTTTTGCAGGGAATGCGTGGGCATAGAGACATCCCGCTGCGTCTACCTGGATCGGGACGTGGGACACTTCGATGTCTTCTCATGGTGGACTTGAGCACAAAGAGCTGTCGAACTGATAACACTTTGCAATCTGTGTATAATTTTTCGGTGGAGTATCTATAAGACTGTTGACTTCTCTAATGCCTTTAATACTGTCAATCACGAAATCCTGTTATCTATCCTATCCCATCTTATGGTTCCTGCTGAGACACTGGAATGGTTCTCCACCTATCTTCAGGGGCGACAGCAATGTGTTCGTGTTGATGACTTATCATCAAGTTGGTGCGACCTCCACGCTGGCGTCCCACAAGGCGGAATTTTATCTCCTCTCTTATTCTCTATATTTATTAACCTCGTAACTCAACATCTTCAGTGTGAGTATCACCTGTATGCTGATGACCTGCAGCTGTACTCACAGACAAGGGTAGAGGACGTAACGCGGGCTATTGACGAGGTCAATCGGGATCTGGAGGTCATAGAATCCTTTTCGATGAGATTTGGACTGTCAGTTAATCCGACCAAATGTCAGGCAATCATAATAGGCAGCAAACGGATTATGAGCAGATTGGATACTGCCTCTATCCTACCGGTCGTCTACAATGGTTTAATTATTCCATTCAGCCCGGTAGTCAAAGACCTGGGCTTACTTGTCGATTCATTCCTCGATTGGCGAGCTCAAATTACTAGCGTGAGCCAGAAAGTAACTGGCAATTTGCGAACATTGTATCGACTCAAGAATTTCCTACCTCCTAAAACTAAAATTACGCTCATGCAGTCCTTAATAATGCCAATAATTGACTATGGTGATGTGTGTTATTTCGACCTGAATGCAGATCTTCTAAATAAGCTTGACCGTCTTCTCAATAACTGCATTCGATACATCTTCAATCTTCGGAAGTATGACCATGTGTCTGCTTTGCGTTCCCAATTAAACTGGTTGCCTATTCGCCTCCGCCGCAAACAGCGCGCACTTACCTCTCTATTTGCATTTCTCAATTCACCGTCCTCACCTACTTACCTTGCTCCCTACTTACGTTACCTGTCTAGCAATCATGACAGAAACCTTCGCTCAGATAACAATCTGCTTCTCTAATGTCCCTCTCACAACTCCGACTTCGTGAACTCTTCGTTCTTTGTTCAAGCAGTACTACTCTGGAATGCGCTCCCGCTCGAAATCAGGATGTAAACAAACCGCTTTACATTCAAAAAGAAGGTACATGCTCTCCTTCTTAAAGAAATGGCAGAACGGTCTAATCCATAGTTAAGTATACCTCATATTCAGGTTTTCATAGTGTACGAATAAGATATGTCTATGTATCTATATAAATATATATATATATATATATATATATATATATATATATGTATATGTATCTATGCGTATTTATGATGTGTAAGTGTAGTATGTGTGTATATATTTGTATATGTAGTGAACCGTATATATTTTCATTGTACATTTGATATTATGATGTAACCTCTGTGCACCTACCTTACAAGATTTCTACATCACCCAAAGGTTGACTGGGAGAGAATGCCCTGGGCATTAAGTCCGCCGATGTACAAAAGTGCATAAAGATAAATAAATAAATAAGTTTTAGCTTTTCTAGTGGAACACAGTCTCTTAGTGATTTGAATATGTGTATTTGTCTCCTCACTCTGGAGGTGACTGTGTGTATCTGCTTGTCCCACCTCAGTCCACTATCAATATACACTCCCAGGTACATAACATGTTCAGCTCGATCGATTTGTTGACATGTGCAGGCATTCTGGGAAAGGCAAGTATGGGCAGTGATTGAGAAGTTTTGTGGTGGGGAGTTAGTTTTCGTGATCGAGAAGGCAACATAATACGTTTTGGAGAGGTTTTTTTTTTTGGACTAATCCCACCCACACGCCCACCACTGTAACTCCTGTACAACAGGATCCACAGCAGTGACCCACGAACACACCGA